ACATACTAGAAAAAAACATTGCTAACACTGTTCCATGATGTGCTTTTTGCTGAAGTATAACTGTATCAAAGGAAAACTCCCCATGAAGTACATATATGGTGTTTTCATCCATGGGAGAAAATTCATCAACACTTAAAGCCTACACTAAACACTGCAGTTACTCAAGTTGCATAAGATGCTCTTGAAATGTTTCTGAAATGTGTAATTTTGTACCAGTGAAGTTAGTATTCTGTACTGCCATATTGTGTGAGAGTTTACCATTGAAACACGTAGTCTTTGGTTTTTCGGATATGTTTGCTATAATGTACTTGCTACAGTAGGACATTACACGTGTTTTATTAGCATTGATGAGCAAGACCTGTCACAGAACAACCCCATTTGTGTAAATTGTGACCCCCAGTGTAATGAGACACGCAATCCGTTAGGTGGATGTCATTTACCTGTGATGCGTAACTCCCCAACTGCCCAAACCACTGCCCCTTCCTGGCTAATCAATGCCCGCGAAATAACCTGCCGTATGTCGCAGCCAGTCGGTCTGCCTGCCCGATGGGGTCACCATGGCAACTGTGACTCAGCCTCCAAAGGCGGCTGCTCGTCTGACGTAATGATGCTTTCTCTAAATCTTTTCTTGTGATTGGAAATGATTGTCAGTACCTTGTCATTCAGTAGCAAAATAATGTAAAGTACAAATGATACACTTGTGGCTGTCTTATTGTTAATAAAAAATGGAGTGAAAAAGGAAACATCACTCTATCAGTAAAGTGGAGATCCAGGCATTTTTGGAGAAGTTGAAAATGTATTGTTTACTGAGAGACTTAAAGTCAGCCATATACTGACTGACTGAAAGTCAGTCATTGACCCGTCAAAAATCTGGCATACCTCTGAAGATCCATTTATATTTTGACCACATTGCTCATATGCATTGATAAAATGTTGGGATTTAGTTTATATGCTTATTGCCTGTTGTGCTTTTCCTGTCTTTGCTGTGAAAGAGAGAAATTCATGCTGTGAAATTCAAAAGAAAATCCTAACTATACTGTTTCCTCACCGAAGGGGGCTTTCTTTTGCAGTTAAACCCCAAAGCCTTCCATTTTAATCATGCAGAAACGGGTCACGCAGTTCAAGGTTCACGCATTGCCTGGCACAGTACCCCTACATCTCAGTATAGTTGTACCAGCATTGTTGGCGAAATAATACCTGTTAAATGAAGCCACGGTAACTAAAGGAAATATGTGTGTGATGTGTTTGGGTTACGTTTTACATACATTCTCGGCTGGAGTCCCTTGGCGTATTTCCAACAATCCAGCCAAGCGTGCATAAAGTTCAAACCGCCCACTTGTCTGGCTGTACACACAGTGGTTTATTTCTGTAACACCAGTGCGGCCCCAACCCAACTCTAATTTTTTGTAGAGAGATTCTTTCACTGGCATGCATATAGACATGTACATATGTACACGTACATGTAAACATGAATCAAAGCTCATCACGGAAGACTGTTTCTTATAAACCTGTAATGTTACCGGTATAATACTCAAGGCTATAGTATATTAAGTTCTATTGCACAAACTACATGCAATAGAGGACACAAGCGTTTTCAGTGTGAAGAGTTATAATTGATTGAATTCTCAATTCAGAGGCTGTGTTGATTAAAGACTGAAATAATCCACCCTGAGCTGCAGTGTACCCTCACCAGCAAAAGAAAGACAGATGGTACTAAGTTTTCCAAACGGGTTCTTGCACACGTTCGGGGTGCATGCGAAGACCATACAATCCAGACTAAAATTTGTTGCGCGTACACAGCATGCTCTGTGTCAAACGTGCATAAACTTGTGCGCCTATGCAGTAAATGCGTACCAAAGGACTGTAAATTTCATTTCAAAACACGTCCTCTTTTATTCCTGTTCGAAGCGGATAATGATGAAATAGAAACTAAAAAAGATTTACAGTTGTGCTAGAAGTGGAGAAAAGTGTCTGACTTGCATACCATACTGTTAAGAGTTCTTGAGAATGTGAGTTTAGGTATGTCGTGGTACTTTTTCAGAGTAAAAAAGAAACATAATCACATAATAAAAGCAAGAAGCTAACGGTACAGTATAAACTTGCAATAGCAAAGTACACGCTTGAATATAATACTGCATCCACTGACAAGAATGCAAAATTTTGTGGGACAGGAGAAATGTTCAATTCTGTGCTTGCATGATCTGTAAAGTGTTTGAGCAAGTAGTAACACTATCACAGCCACATTGTCACCATCTTCCTTGCTGTAAGGGTACAGAGCAATGAGAGCACGCACCTGTTAGTGCCTCTAATTAAGAATAGACAGTTCCTGGTCAAAAGTGAAAGTGTTTCGGGGAGAAGACCGGGATATCCTTATTACACCAATGATTTTTTTTTTTAGCTTAAAGATGCATGCTAGTGGCATCATCTTATGTTGATGTACACCGACTTCTCACAAATGAGCATTCAATTTACAGTTCTAATCACAGTGCTCTTGCCTGGGCGGTCACGGTTCAAATATTATTGTACTACTATTGTTCACTATATGTATCCGCCACTCAGTTTAGAATACAAGTGGGCTTGTGTTTACACCATAACTCTATTTATTTATCATACATATCTGTGTGAATTACTCAGTCAGGTTTCTATTCAATGGAGACTGTTCGAAATATTTACGATATGAGACATATTTACATGGATGGGAATTAAATTAAAACTTGACATTTGAGATCACTGAATTATTTATTCAGAAATGTACAGGTTGTTGAAAAATGCTAATTTGTCACGGATTCCTCTGCCTTTGCCGTCAACGCTCACATGGACCCCCACAAGCCAATGGTCACACTCCCTGATCAACCTTTACAATGCCAGGGGATTAACTCCTGCTTCACTGCACGCACAGAAGCAGGAGAATCCCCTCCTCAGGTTCTGATGCATTTTAATCACCGCTATGCATGTTGGACAATGGCCAGAGACACAGGGTGATGAGGGGGGAGGGAAGGCTGGACGGGCATGCTGCCTCCCTAGATTTTTACGCCTCTGTGGCCTTGGGAGAGGTGTTAGAAAAATTCAGTGGTGATCTCGTGCTTGGGTGATCTGGCAAGTTTGGCCAGTCTTTTGTGAAGCGTCCTGTAACAGTCATTGGTAAACTATGTGGTGGACTTAATCTACTATACATCTACATGCTCTTTGACTACCAGAAAGATGTCATGCAATTTTTTTCAAAACCAGACAGAATCAGAATTGAGAAATATCTTTCTTTTAGTTGAAATCACAGCAGTTGCTATATGATTGACACATTGTAGCCCCAGCACTTTCTACATGGACAACTCGTCCAACTAAAAGAAAGTCTGAAAATGTCCTTGTGTATGGGGTACCTATGGCATTTGCAAGATGATGTTCAACTTAAAGCAGAGGCTTTCACTAAAATGTTCAGTATTATTAGTGGTTTTCAAGAAAGCTGGGTTCAGGCCCAAGCTGGCCTTCCTCTGTGGAGTGAGTTACAAAGGGGGCTATTTTATGCTACCAATCATTTGTAGCCATTGCCAGAAAGAATTTGACTAGAATTCCTTGGTGAGGTCCCCGCTCGGGCCAAGGTAATAGGGAGTTAGTGCAGCAATTACAGGCACTGACAGTCTAGGAGACTGCTCAGGTGCTCATATACATGTAGGGGTGAGGTATGTCTCTCGGAGGGCTCCGCTCACCCGTGAATGCAATTCCCCCTTCCTTGAACCCTTTTCCTAATTGTATTTACCCCTCTTCCGAAAGTTTCATGGTGTCAAAGTTTACCTTATGGCTTCTATAAAATGCCTGGTAAAGGCTTCTGTAAAATGGAGCTGTCAAGAATCATACTTGATAGTGTTCCTCCGTTATTGCTTGGTTTGCTACAGTTTACATAACTGAACTTGTGCTAACATCAGATATGCTGCCCTAGCTAAATTAAGGAGTTTGTGTACTTATAGTAATTCCAGGGTCTGTACCACTTGCCCTCATCTGCCACACTGAGGTGTCTCCTTATTTTGTTTGCCCCACATTTTCTGTGCCTTTGTCATGATGAAGGAGTTTTGAAATGAAGCAGTGGAAAGGGATAAGAAAATGCTTCCAATTCATGGCCTCTGGTGTTAAGGACCAGTCAAATGTGTTGGAGAACTCAAAGTACCTGAAAGAATGGGAGCATTTTGAAAAGGGGAAAAATTCTGAGAATCATGGCCAAAAAATGCCAAGTGGAGGACTGGGAAGCAAGTCTGGGACATGATCCCTGCTTGCCTTAGCTCTTTTTTTTTTGTGTACCAGGAGTAATCTGATCGTTTGTTTCTCCTTTGATCCCTGTGCAGTTCGGTGCCCCTCTGGCCCCCAGAAAATAGTGGAGGGAAAGGAAATCCAGATTTCCATTTCTGCTTACAAATACATGTACCATGTACTTCTCAGGTGAAGGTGTGGAGACCTTATGTAGGACTACAAAGAAAGAGAGGATTGTTTGGCTCTAAAACTGTACGTGCAATTGCATGAGTATACACGAATCAGACTTTAAGCTTGAGTGCTCATCTACATGTGTGACACTTAAGTTGCATGTTTAAAGAGCGACTGATGTCTTGTCTTGAATTTTATACGGTATCCTCATTGGACCATGTTATGACCATCATGTAGGACTCTGCCCTTGAAGGATCATGGGAAATTTTGGACCACACTGTGGTGTACGTCCTAACTGGTTCCTATGAGATATTGTTATCTGTGTCCAGTTACACGTAGAAATTCAGCCAACGAGTCAGCCAGTCCATCAGTAAAGGCCAAACAATCACTTGAAACCCATCAATGCTTTGCTAAATATGGACTTCTTGAAGATTACATGCAGTGCTTCCAAACGACATGTGGTTTCAGAATATTTGGAAAATTAATATCTTCATAGGGTGTGTGAGATTTGAGCAGATTATGTAAAAGTCCCTGTACAATAGCAACAGTTGAAAAATGATATCTTGGGCAGCTGCCATATCCTGATTCCCGAACAGCCCTACCGAGTGGGAAAATGTCTTCAGGTACTTCAGTGCATTTAGGTAGAGACAGTATCTGTCTGATATGGAAATGCATGAACTAAGTGATGTGTTTTTATAACATCTCAGACTTTGCACTGAAGCCTCCAAAGTTCATCAGAAACCTACATGTACATGTGTGTCCGCGTGTAGGAGTGGCAACTTTTATGTACAGTTGCCATTTACTGAGTGAGGCAATTTGTGGCAGGATTACCAAATAAGGAATCAACACCTCTGACGACGCGGAATCCAAACCACGTTTTAAAAAACATGTTTACTGAATATCATGCTCGTATATTTCCCCAAAGACATGCATAGTTTCAGACAAGCTTCCTCTTCGGCCACGTGCGCAGGCTCACCCCAGGGAGTAACTATCGGAGGTACCTGGGGCATTTTTTTTTTATTGTTGAATGGACGGTGCTTTCCTGGCTGCATGGTTTCAACGGAAAGGCTTCTCGGACTGCGGTATGGTGTTAGAAGGGGTAGAGTCATTCTAGAGGAAGTACCTAGCCGAGGGCTAGGCACCAGGGTCAGCTCAGGCATGACCTACCTACGCTAAAGTGGGACAAGGCGGGATCACCATGGCGTCAGGTTGCAGCGTGACTGAACAGAATTCAGATCACAAACAGGATTCTCTTAATGATGGCCGAACTTTCCGCCCACATTTTTTTTTTTTTTTTTAGAGTATGATTTTTTCAGCATCTTGTGGCGTAAATGGTCATCCGGTGCAATTTATTTCGGCTTGAAGGCAGAATGTACCGGTACCTTTCTACAGTGTACCTATCCGTGTGTGACCTGTGGTGAAATGTAAATGTGTGCATGTGTGGCTTCCACTTTCCTCAGCATCCTTAACCAGCAATGTTGAAAATGTGAAGAAAGTGTAACCGAGATTAATTGTAAAAACCTATAAAGCTCTGAAGAAGCAGATGGTATATTGATATTGAGATATATCTACACTGGACAGTAAAAGAAACTTGCCACTTCTGTCAGAGGCCACACGTAAAACTTCACTCCATAGAAATAAACAATTTTTGTACACAGGTATGCTGCAATACCCCTTACTAATCACATGCCCAAAAGCAAGTGATTATCTTTATAACAAAGAAGAAATTGACATTTATGTGTGGCCTTTGACAGAAGTGGCAAGTGTCTTTTGCAGTCCAGTGTAGATGTTGTTGGTTTCACCATGAAGTAACATATAGGATACTTTTGGTGGATCACAAAGCGAGGTATCGTCCATAGACTTTATACACACGATACAACAGTTCGTGGTGTGGCATCTATCCATGACATGTCAGTTTGTCATAGTCCAATGACATACCGGTACATGTGGTTTTGATACGAATAAAAGTTCAGGTGGTAGGCAAGAGAGAACCTAAATCCATGGAATGGCATTACGAAAAAAAAGAAGTAAAAATGATCTTACCCTTGTTTGAGAACTTGAGCAACCTCACTCCAGTTGTCTGTGATTCTGGGGTTTGGAAAACATTCGTAGGTGCTTTGAAATCAAACACTGAAGTTGAGAATGAGCAAGACATCCACTGTAGTGTGTCACCTCGTGAAGTTAAGGGGTCTTTGGAAAGTGAACACAAGTGATGTTGATAGTTAACATCTTGCACATTTGTCGTTGTACAGCGAGAATACATCATGGGTTTGTAGATTGTTGGAGCAGTTAGGATGAATGGGTGCTGATGGTAGGGGGTTAGGAAGCTGTGAAGGCTGTCAAAATAAGATCCAAGGGTTTTTATCAGTGGAAATAAAATGCTGATTTTTGCTTTTTCCCACAGAACTTTATTTTCATGTAAAGAAAGAACATATGCAATGGAAGAGCTACATATAAATTAATTCTTTTTTTGGAGACAGATAGTTTCTTGCTGTGGTTTCAGTTGCCAAACCAGATTTTTCTTTGAAAGGTTTAATGGAACAGTTTGGAGCCAACAAAATTTCAAAATATGCAATACTTTCCTCACCAAAATATAGAACTTTCACAAATGTTGTCATACCTTTTACACATGTACATGTACGTATCCATGTTTTGTTTTGCATGCTCTTTTGTTGAATGTTTTCTTGAAGATCTGAGAATTTGCATGGCATTTTTTTTTTCTTTCTCCCTTTCATTTTGTGTGTGGCTTCCTGCATGCATGCCCCTCCAATGTGTGTGAACTTTGCGGTACATGAAACATACTCCATCACCTCCATTGAAAACCTCCCCCCTCCCCCACCAAATCAACCATTGTTAGAATCCCATGCGACACTCACCCTCACACCAGAACCCTGGCCCTGGGGGTCCCCAGGGGTCGCAGCCCTCACCCCACGCTCAGCATCATCACCATGGCAGTCCCATGATGCAACAGAACCAGGTGGGTCATACCATTCCTTTCAGAGGGATGGGGAAAGGGAACATTTCAGAGTCATTAACTTGAGCCATTCCTAATGAGATTCTGGATTTGGAATAGACCGTTACAGTTCTTCTGAGAATTGGATCGATATCGCCTGTCTTTATTTCTTTATTTTTTTCAAAACTTTGATTTGGTGTGCTTTGTGTTAATACGAATGCTTGTAACTCCGTGTGATACCCGTCATTTCCCGGGGAACCACTTCTATCAAAGCTTGCATGGTTACTGCAGAGAGTCTTGTTAATGGTCCATTGCACAGATCTCCTGTATCGATGAAAGGGGGAGGGGAGAACGGCAAACATTTATTAAGTGAGTTGGATCGGGGAAAAGCCTAACACAGGCCAAGGGTCAGCACTCATAGTGAGCCATGTGGCTTCATTGAGCCATGTGCAAAGCCTCACTCCCCCTTCCCACAAGCAGAAATGATAGTTGCAATGCTCTCTCGAAGTAAGCACATTCATCTGTCAAGAAACCCAACATACAGTGGAGTTGCATTAAGGGTAGCTGTCACACACTGCAGTGCTCCTTCACAGGCTGTTGATCCGGTGACATTTCAAGTAAGCCTGGAACTGCAGGTCCTCATTATTGCCGTGAAAGCAAAAATACAGAGTGTGGAAGTTGATTTAGCCCCCTTCCCCACTTCAAGTGATTGCATTTGACTCATTTGGGTTGGCCTCTGAAGTTGCAACACAGAAAACTGCGGGGAGATATTCTGTCTCACATTTTGCGTTTGCATCTTTCCTTTCAGCAGTTACCTCCTCATCACATGGACGGAAATCAAGTAAGTTGAAGTAGATGGCTGTAAACGTTTGAATCCTTGCATTGTTCTACCACGCTGGGCCAGTTTGGTCTGATTGCCGCACTTCAGTTCTCAAAAACAAATGACACAAACTGTGGCGATGGGGTGGGGCGCCAGCATGAGCAGTCTCTGACTGTTGTAATTTGTGTCATTACTTGAACACCTCAAAACCCGTGCTATTTATGAACCGGCATGCAGAGTGAAAGTGCTGGGTACATAGTGCTTGGGGGAGGGGAGGGATAAAATTTGTGTTCCTTTTCAGTAAAAGCCGGTTGACAGCTCTTCTATTTTGGACTGGGAAAATGTATTTGGAATGAAAAAGGGGTCAGTGTGTTTACCTTAGCTGAAAAGAGCATGTTAAGACTATAGAAAGAACATGCTTTTTTTCAGGCTGTTCAAGTTTTGATATAAATTCATAACCACTGGTGAAACACTGCATGTGTGACTGGCCCCCTATTCAAATGATGGCCTGATGTTCCTGAGTAAACCTGGAAAGAAGTTGGAGTGCATAGTTTGCGTATACTCTCAACATTCACAGGTGTTTCAACAAAATACATCAGTTGCAGTAAGTTTTGAGGGGGGGCAATATCAGAACATGTCACAGGTTAAATAAGAAAACGGATCAGAAGAACAAGTCCAGTAGTCAATCAAAATTCACTAGCTGACAGAGAACAGCAACAATTTCAGACTCTTTACAGGGGTTCTGAACATGCAGCATTCATATTTCAGATTTAGTGGGCAAGAAGACCTGTATCCAAAACGCTCTGTGTGAATAATGGAGTTTCTTTGCCAGTGCTGTTTCAAGAACTAAAATTTTTGCCTTCTCTTGAAATGGTCAAGGCTCTAATAGCATGAAAGTTTAAACTGGCTTCTCAAGTAAAAAAAAGCACTTAAAAAAGTCTTGGAGCGAGCGGGCTAGAATAGTCTTATTTTCTTACCTTCCCACGCTGTGACCTGACACCAGCCCACACAAGGTCACTCTCGGGCATGTGTAGGTTGACCTTTTCGTCTCTAGCGCTGCCTCCATGCCCGTTTATCTCCCAGAGTCCCCGAAGAGTCTGTGCCTCCCACTTCAGTAACCGAGAATTCCTCTGCCATCTCTTCCCTCCCATGGTGGATCCTTTTTCTTTCTCTTCTCAAATCAATACTGTACTTGGAGTGTGAGAAGGGTGAACACACAGGGTGAAATGACAGGTTTTTTGTTCTTTCTACCTCTTTCCCAACTCACAGTTATCACCTCATCCGATGGATATGAACCAGGTATCGTAACTAGGTTTTCCAAAACCCACTCACCCTCCTTCCAAAAGAATAGAAACTACAAAAGAAAACGCCAAACATTTAAAAAAAGCCAGTAGCTGATTGTTTTGGCTTAAACCTTGAATAAACCATCTGACTGTAAGCCCCATTGATATTGGGTCAATTGTGAGAGTGCACAAGTGTACGACAACACTTGTACACCTAGGAAGATTCTTGCCTAATTCCTCGTGATAGACACTAATTTTGAATCTTGAGCTGGTCAAAGGTTCAACTTGATTTCATGCAGTTGTGTTGTACCAACCTGTAGTTATTAAGATGTGATGAAATAGCATTTTTTTTAGAACTCACCAGAACTTAGATGGTAGCGGGCTCTCCCAGTTCAGAAACACCTGATGCTTTGCTGTACCTTATATCTGCAGAATTCAGCTCTTTCTCTCTGTCTTCCTCTCTCTCTCTTTCTCTCTCGTGTAGTCACGATGCACTGATTCCCTTTGAGTGTTGTTTGCGGTGCCTCATGCAAATACGAGCCTTTGTATGAATTAAAAGAAATTGCCAAGTGCAGATCAGTCCCTTGTGCCTCATGGCACCGACAGCAAGTTAAAGTGTCATGCGAAAAAAGGGTGAAAGTAAAAAAAGAAAATCAAAATCACAGAGACCCCTCACCGACCTTTTTTATCAACTAACTTCTGTATGCACCTCTCTGAAACATTCAGCAATGTCCAAAGATTCACAGCCAGCATTTTAAGCTCCAGTTTTGACGCATGAGCATGCACTGCATTCCTCAACAATTTTTCTCTGCTGCTGCACAATTTACAATGCCTTTCCAGAGCACATCTTCGGAAGCACAAGCAAGGAGGAGTGGAGGCTGCCATGCTTTACCTGTAGTCTTATAATACATGTATATTCAACCTGGTTTCATGCCAAAGAAGCAGCACTGATCGTAAACATTAACCTGAGACGAGCTCATACCAGCCGTTTGCACAGTTTGAATACAAACACCACGTGTGATGAATTGGCACATTTTCACTTGCACTTCACCAAGTTAAACAAAATGGCAGAGAGTCAACATTTTTCTTACTGGAGTTGTTGTAGTTTTCTACAATCTTGTGCAATATTTCCAGTGTGTGAATTGTGACTAAGACCCAGAAGTTGTACCGTATCTGCCACCACAACGACAGTAGTAAAACAACCAGCCTGCATTCTTATAAGCGTTGTACACACATTACATCATAATTGTGGTTCTCATTTTTAAAGCATTGCAGGCAATTCCTCACAAGTCTATCACCGGCTGTCTAGACTCAATTCAAGTCCATGCTATTCCAAGAAGCTGTGACTGTTGGACGTGCATCCCATCGGTGCAGTGTATTCATGACTGAATGAATGATTTGACTTATGATCGACTTGTGATTGGACTTGCCTACAACCCTGCCTAGAGATAAGACTCATGCATACCAGATGAGAGTGGTCGATGCAACGGTTAATGTCCTCCCATTTCTTGTCTTTCACAGCCGTTTATGTCACCCCGCTACTCAGGCCCGAGAGGCGGTCCCGTCAGAATGCCAGGGAGCCAGGTAAGAGCAACACCCAAGATTGTAACAAATTTTGTTTTTGACAATTCGTGTGTATCCATTTTGCAGAATTAAAAAAACAAAAACAAAAAATCAAGAATAAATTTCACACCAGATGACACCAGGGTAATTGTTTAATCCAGAAAAGGGGGGGGGGATTTTTAGTCAGTGGTAACAGTGATGTTGGAGATGATGACTTTGGTAACTTTTCAACTGAACAGTAGTTACTTGTATACCAAAGCAAATATGAACTCCTGAAGTTTGGGCTTGCTGAGCATTTGTGTAGCTTGCAAAACAATTTTGCACTCCCCTTGTCTAAATCTACCCATCATTTCATAAGAGTGCTTTCCCAACAAGGTATGCTTCAGTCCTAAGTGTAGGCTCGTAAGATATCTACTGCTGCCTTCTGTGTTACTCAAAACTTTCATGTATGCTGCAGTTCTAGTGAAATAAAATTGTGAGCTGAGAGGTGGACTTTGTCAGGATACTTGTTCAAGTGAGGACATACTTATTGGGAAGAGGATAGCTTTACTTCAGTTTTACTGAAAATCAGTTGAGCTACTTATTACCATATCGTCCATGTAGTTTATGTTTCTTGAATTCGTTCTTTGTAGATGACTTGGACATGCAGGGACTTGATAGAGCTGGGTCAAATTTTACCTGAAATGTCTTGTGTTGGTGACAATTTATGGTAGATACATGTTTATGAGCAGTGTAAGCAAATTTCCATTTGACCAACGTCAAACTGTTCATTGCGTATTGAAAGATGCCAGTTTGAACAATACTATTTTGCCCACAATAATTATTTCTTGGAACTTATTTGTGATCTTGCTCCACACCAGCTGTCAAGAATATGTTGGTGAATGTGAACTACCCCCTCTGTTGACTCAAGTGAGAAATGTACCTCAGTTTTTCTTGGTTGTGTGCAAAGAGAATGCTGCCCTCTGTTGATCCAACATAGTTTCTGTTGATTTTTGCCTCACAATAGATGCAGTATCCTCAATGTTATCAAGTCTTTTTGACTTGATAAAGATGTGACGTATGATTTGACTTTTATGTGAGAGATAATTGTTTTCCTGTCTATAATCTCCAGAATATCTGTCCGTGTAATATACCACTCATTTATTCCTGGCAATTTGTTGTGCAAGGGTTAGTAAAAAGGGGGCTCCTTGAAGACCGAATGGGTCACAAATACAAGCTGCTATGCACTTGACAACTGTACATTGCAGTGTGCTAGAAGGTTTTCTCATATCTTGACATTTATTTCCTTCTTACGAATGTGGACTATCCAAAATTTGAAAATTGATATCTAAACGTATAGTTGACCATGATGGTATCTTGCCTTTCATATTTTTCATTTTGAATGTTGTCACTGTAGCTTGCAGTCTGAATTAAAATTAGTTTTCAACCTAAAGTTGAAAAGCATCCAAAAAATTCCCAATTGAAGGCATGCTTCATCAGGACTCTTCGAAACTCTGACACCAAAGTGTCCAGGAGTCTACAAAAGTGCTGTGTTTTCCCATAACTTTAAAAAGGAAATCCACTTCTGTGCTAAAAACGGTGTAATTCACTGAAAACCTTATCCTAAAAAAGGGGGGGGGTTGAAAAATTTGTTAAGTTTTTGAAAGTGTCTAAAACAGTACAAGGTTAATAATATCGATTCTTACCTGACATTTCCACAGCCTCCACCCGGGGGCATCCCCAATTCACAAGGCATGATGCCCAACTCCATGGACCCAACAAGGCCGGGTAAGTCCTCTTCCTTGTCTGTCTTGCATGTTTAAAGGAACGATGAAACAGAAGAGAGACATTTTAGTCCTTTAAGCGCATCAGACAGGATACACCGGGGAGTCCGAGGTTTACTCACGATGTGTGTGGAATTATTGATGCGGAAGGCAACAGCGTGTACTGTTGTGGGATACCCTAGTGTTTCTTCGTCACTTTCTGGTGAAGTGATCCGCTGATAATGTGGTCATGGTGCATGGTTTGAAAATTGCTTTTTGGAGTCTGTGATGCTGTTGCCCGATTGTGAGTGAAAATTGTTAACTGAAATGGTTTTTACTGGATCAAAAGTTAACATACCACTTTATGAGTGTTGACAGATGAAATGCTTTCAAAGTGGCTACCCTACATCAGGGAATTCACTTCTTATTCTGTGAAACCGTCAGATTTAAATGTGAAAATAGTTCAAATTCTTCTCAAACCATATCCCAACAGCCATGAAATGCTCTACATTCATTTTTGAATTCATCATTTTATTATTGCTTTTTGATGTAGCTATTAAAGAAAATGAAATATGCAGTGTATGTGGTTAGCATCAAGATTATTTCTTCATACAAAAGACTTCTGTGTTCAATGTATCAAATTTCTTAAAATCTCAAAGTATTTAGCAAAGTTTTTTAGTTAGCTCTGTTTTAAAACCAGATTTGATGGGGTTTGAGATGTTTGCTGTATACTAGAATTGTTGCCTTCTTTTTATGGCCAAGATATGTTCTTTTTTTATTTACATTTCATCTCTGATGTTTATATCGTTGGCAGATATTTACTAGTGCTTTGTGTTGGCTAATACTAACAAAAAAAAAGAGAACACCGTTTTAGAGCATGTTGTATTTTCTTGAAACTCTAATGTAGCGGTACCGGGTACGTTATACTCATTTTTTAGTGTTGAAGAATGAACACTACATTCTTCAGTGTTTCTCATGGCCCCTCGATTTAGTCCTGAGTAAGTGCGGAAAAAACTGCCTAGATTGATGAATTATCCTCGGACTGGATGAATTGTCCTTGGGTCGGATTACATCATCATGTACTGCTTGCGCCTGGTGTAGCAACCTGTCTTCTATTTGATGCTCTTTTCCTCAAACTGCATGTGCGGCTTGCAAAGTGAATACAATCCTGGGAAGATTCATCATCATTGTCCCACCCCCCCTCTTTTCATCGACTATTTGTAAAAGTGATGTGTCTTCTTCACCATTGCTGTCAAATGAGTTCCTGCGTCATGTACTGTGGGGACCTCCTTCCTTTCAGTAAGCCCACGACTTGAGTCAGGCGCTCAGGCACCAAACGTCAGAGGAATTGATCAAAGTTGTTTTTTTTCTCACACTTGTGCCTCCAGTTCTAGTTTGATTGATTGACCCTTGCTTTACCCCTTTTTTCCCAATTTGATTTGTTTTGAATTAATAAGTGACTGTAGTTGACAGTTTGTAGGTCCGATTGATTTGCCAGTCTTGAGTTTCTTCCCCACCGGTTTAATTTGGATCTCTGATATTGTGTCATAAGGATGGGCAGAGTAACTGGTGAGAAGTATGGTACCATGTGAAGATGGTATGCCATATCTGCCATTCACGTACATTTTGTTGGAGCTGTATCCGGTTGTGCCATTTTTGCCTCCACGGTTCATTTATTTACCATCTCTGTGGACAACCTTTTGTCCTGCTCTCCTACATGTACATGTATGTACAAAAGATTAATTACATGTCATCCTCCATGTCCTGCATCAGACAACAGAGGGCGCTCCTCCTTTCTACTGCTGCACAGTTGGTCTGGTTACATGTCGTGCATGAACAGTGTGAATACTTAAGAATATTGACAGTCGCATGTATGCACATTTTTGACAGGTTTCTCTGCAACTATTGTCAATTACCACCCATGACCAGTTTACATTTTAGTGCTTAAATCTACTTTAAAAGCAAGAAAGTAGTAAGGACGGAGAATGTGGAAAGCGTGACTTACCTTTCCTTGTGAAGTCGATCCATGTTTACTGTCATTTACTCTCATCGGTTGTTGTTCTTTTGCTACTTGAAGACTCAGGATTGCTTCTCTTCAGTCTAGAAGAAGTTGTTCACAATGTATGTTTTAAATTCATTTGTTCATAGTCAATCAAGTTTCCTTAAGAAAGTATCGCCCGAATCCTTTTCAATTGAATTAGTTCAACCTCAGGTTTATTCAACCATGGCAGAAAATGAAATCAACAGGAAAGAGGCTCAGTGAATTTTTCAATCGTTACATAGGTCTCATCATTTTTGGTCACTGTGTAGCTTCCTACATTTACATGTATCTGTTCACGTACTGGTTTGTGCATGCATGTATAGTATGGGTGGGTGGTTTAACGTTACATGTGTATGCAAGCAGGACTAGTGTCCTTTAACTTCTTGCCCGTGGACAAGTAATTTCAAATTTCCAATTTACCGGTGACTGTTGATTTATCATTCCGATGTTGATGGATCCCACCGCCCACTCCTTTGGTCTTGCATCCTGTCTCTTAACCTCTCCTTAATCTTCTCCTTCGTGTGCGTCGTAGGCGTGTTGGACTAATTGGGAGTCGCTTGTTGATAAATGCACCTGCCCGTGTTGGGCTCGATATCTACTTCGATCAGGGTTGTACAGGCATTCCCATCTCGCTAGACAAAAATTGTCAGCTATTTTAGCTGGGGCAAGATAATGTCGGAAGAAAGCGGGAGAGTAAAAGAAAAGGGGTCACTTTTGCAGTAATCCCATCGTCTGTTCAGCCCAATATCAGACAAGAAGCCTTTCAGGTCCTTGCATTGTAATCAGAGCTGTGGCGGGTCATAGAAGGATATTACTGGAATTAATCTTTAATGCGATTGAGGGGAAATTTGAATTGGAAATCTGAACTTTTGGGGGGGGATCTGATCTAGTAATTGAATTGCCCTCTAATGGATCAACAGATCTTGGGATGCAATTTCATTTGTGGAGTCATTTCCATGAACACGGGGCATTTGATGAATTGACTCCTCTTTAGTGGTTGAAGCATAAGTTGGAGAAACATGTATATAATGCTTGCATATTAATATGAGATTCAAGTTTGGATATGTGCCAAAGTATTATGGCCGGATTGGCAATGCTACAGTACTGGAAGGGTATACAGGAATATTCAGACTTGCAATTCAGGAGATTTACAAGTCCATTTCCAGTCGTTCAGTCTGAGCTCACTAGTTGTTTAGCTATTTTGGTGAACTGTGGCAAACGCATTCCCCTGCCCTTCACTACTTGTGAGCCAGCCTGTAATTTGACTTGATTACAGCATGGGCAATATCAAAGAGACATTTTGGACTGTCCCAGGCAGCACCCTTTTAGGCCCCGTTGCGAGGCTGCCCCAGCACCATGCTTAAACCAAAACATCTGCCTAATCAGGCCAACAAATGATGGGCCACATTCAAATGCTTCAAAGGTAAATATTACCACTGATGGTAAACTGTCCCCGTGGGATGTCTCCTCGCTTGATATCGATAAGTCCCTGAATTGTTGGGATGTCAGTTGTCACCTGTTGGGATTTATTCCATTCAGCGAGCACACCGAAGTACGTCAAGATTCCTCGGGGCTGTGGAAATCCTTTTGAAAAAAAAAAAAATTGGCCCAACTATCTCTGACTTTCTTTGCAGTACATGTCAAAGTGAGAACAAAGAGAAGCATCATGCAAAAGTCAGGAGCTGGAGACACTTGTTTAGAAATTACATCAAGGATAAATTAAGATAATCCCTCTGGAGTTTATAAAATGTGTAATGGTGGATCAGCGTTTCTTTTGTTTGATTTTTGTCTAGCCCTTGCATGGGGATGTGGAAATCATCATTGTTTAGGAATTGAGGGAATTCAGTAATGTAATTTTGTAGTAGAGAAAGGCAGCTTCAGTGGGGAGATTTCAATAATGCAATGAGAGTTTTGAAAATGCGGTGAAAGGTACCTTCAATTCTTTTTTTTTTATGATATCACCCAAAAACATCTCTGATTGGTCTGAGCTCTGACCTTAAAACAACTACCATAGGCAGAGCATTCCAGACCCATAGTTATTGTAGTGTTACCTTACACTTCTGTTTGCAGAAGTTTGACTCGTCAGTTTAATTTTTTTTTGTTTTTTGTTTTGGTTGCGTCCCAATTGCATTTGGGGCAGCTTGAAAGGTTACTCAGTCGATGTCCTTCACTGTTGGCTTTTGCCAGTGGTGTTCCCTGAGATACGGTGACAGACTTCGTGACGAGAAACGCTGCTGTGGACATTTAATTATTGGAGATAAACGGGGTAACCTTTTAACAATTCCGGGATCCTGGGCACTTACCCGAGGGTGTGGAATCTTGTTTCTCATGTACTTTCGAAAACAATCTGGACACAATTAGATGAAGCCCATTTCCCCTAAGTTCCACCTGCATGTAGACAGAAGGGGAAAAGTACAAAGTGAAAAAAAAAATGATTACTACACAGATCAAGCAAAGTTGTAGTGGAGGGTATTCGCAACATAAATTTAAACATGTTGTAAATTACAGTTTCAAAGCAGTAGAGAAGACAAATATTTGTGTAACATTACATTTGAACAACTTCAATAATATTGTGTTTTTACAGCATTATTTTTTCATGTTGATTCAGCAAAGTAAGTTTTCCAAAGAGGCAGATATTAGTTTTCATACAGCCTATAAAAACAACGATGCAGATGTTCCATGGAGAGACTTAGCCTGTTGGGGTGTTCTTCAATAAGGACGGATGACGGGCCTTGCCACAGCAACAATGTGATTCATTAGCAGTGGGATGTCACTTTTCAAATCAACCCCCCCCCCTGAAAAAATCCCAAATAAATTGCATGTTTCAACCACTCAATGCAAACATTTATTCTCATCTTGAATAACGCACCATATGATACATCGACATTATCATCGGAAGAGAGGGAGAGGGGAGGGAAAAAAATGGGGCTTTCTTTAAGTGCCTGCCATGGGTATGAAATTCAGGAAATTGAGTTATTGAAGAAGAGAGGAAATTTGACGCGGGAGTGGGACAACTGTTAGTTTAGGGACGCAAGGAAATGGATTAATAAGAAGAGGACGAGGCCATATTGTGATAGCGTTGTGAGAGCGTGCGCATTGCTGGCAACATTAACCACATGCCTGGAGGTAATTCAGGAATGTAGATTAGGGCCCTTGTAATGAATAAAAGACGAGAAAAAGCGTCGGGGATTATTCGTCATGGGAGAATGGCCCTTGCGCTGTCACCGGGAATACCTACAACGCAAGAATTTATGCTTCGGGGGAAAAATAACAGGGAGGGAAGCTTGGACACATGATCTGAAACAAATTTCAGGTGCGGTGGGGAATTTGTAAAAATTGCTGGGCTAGAAATAAGATACTGACAGGTATAAATAATCCAAACATTCCTGCCAAGAACAAATGTTGGACAGATGGTGCGTTGAGCTCTAAAATGATATGCGTTTGTTCTGAACTTGACTTGCAGCCTTTCTTGGAAGTGTACCTTTTTTTCCTCAGTTTTTGTTCGCTTTTAAAAATTTTTTTTGCCATACCAGCCTCAGACCCTAGCGATTTAATTTTTTTCCTGTTTGAAGTGACCTTGTGGGTAAATTCTTAAATGATGATGTTTATCAACTGAACAGAAATGTGAGATGTGTGTAGATTTAACGAACAGAGTGCTCCTTACTGGAGATCGGTTGATAGTAGGCTCAGATAGGGCTTCTCGGAGAACCCTTTGGAGGTTGTTGGTTGCTGGTTATTTCTAGCCCATGGACTCAGTGTAGACCCTTTTTGAACCTGATTTGGAAAAAAATGGCTTCAGGCCTTTTAGTTGCAGAAATGAGACTGTATCGTTTGCTTAAAAAAAAGTGTGAAAAATGTATCATGAAAGTTACAACATGAGAAATCCAATTTAATCTCCTGACTTTCACTCCTGGACGAAAGCTATTTATCAACCGATTTCCCCCTGGTACTTATTGCATTTGTATTGTGCCCCGACAGCTTGTAGGGGCCCAATCAAGATTTCATATTGTGATTAGATGGCGAAGCTGTCAGGTTGATTTCAGCTGCTTTGTATTCAATGTCGGGGGCTTAATTTCCTCCCTAAGATTTGAGGGAGTTTGGAGGCACAGGTGCGGGCAGAGGTGCCCCATGAACTTAAGGTGGAGAGGATGGCATAACCTCATTAAGGGAAGGGGAAGCCCTGGCATCATAGTGGCCAGTTTGAACCATATGGCAAGGATCCAGACCCTTGAAGATAACAGCCCATCAAGTTTTCTAGTCTTTTTTGTGGGCTAGATCTTACCAGGCTTCTCATGAACATGATGGCCATGATCTCCTGTGATTTTGTCCCTTGCATGCACTTCAAATTACCATTAATATGAAAATTAACCAGTCCTGAATCGCGGGTCATCAGTTCCTATAATTAATCCCAGTGAGCCTGAATCTTCCCATTTAATTCAAATATTTCCTCGCACTCCGGTGAGTTGTGAGGTAAAAAAAAAAATTGACTGATGTTCTTTAGATTGATTTATTATTACTGTACCGTATTCCCCATCTTTCCGGCATTAACACTTTGTGTCCATATTTTACTCATATCTCCTCATGGTACTTAAAATATTCATCAAGCCCATAATCAGCAGCATTTAAATTTGCTGTGACTCTGAAGACTGAAGGAGAACTTGGCTCATTGTGGATTTAAAAAAAATGAAAGAAAGCCGCCAAGATTTAGGATATACTTGAGTTGTTGGGTCAAGTCAGTTTAATGGGATTTTTTTCCCCCTTTTTAGCAATGGGATTTTCCGCTAAGCCTCGAAGTGATTTTCGTAGGTTCTTGAACCTGTCACTGCCAATTTCATTATGATTTTTATGCTAATTTGCCTTTGATGTAGGTAGGATGTATTTTCAGAGGCATTCTGGGACAAATTAGGTTCTTACTCAACCTGTGGTGTGTTGCCTCTTTATTGCGAACACCTAAGAAACCTGTTTAAAATTGGTAATGGAGTTTCACCTGAAGAAATATGTCCTTTCATTCAGAAAAACACACAGCAATCTCCCTCTAAGCGAACAGAGGCAGAAAAGTACTGTAGACCAACTCGCACTTTGTCTTTTGGTTGGCATCCTGAAATTTCTTGGGGGAGGTTGGAATTTTCTGGGCCCGATTGACTCCATTTCCAGCCACCTATACTGCTTGCCTAGATGCATCTCATCCACCACACCGATCACAATAAAATGCGAATGGCCTCCCCACCAGGGAACAGTAGGGCAGTGTCTTAAGCTTTATATCCAAGCAGGCTCCACTCAACTGAAATATGCTGAAGCCAGAGTAGTCACTCCGCACTTGCTCAAGCCTGATACTGGATGCCTCCACATTAACCATATTACTTTAATGGCATCCACATTAAGTTGTAATTTACTTGGCCCCATTTTTTTTAGCTGCAGGGATCTCCCCCCCCACCCCATTTTGTATTACATGGATTGGGAGTGATCAATAAATTGAATTTGGCGGCCCTACATTTTTATACTTTCAGGTTCCGAAGGTCCAAACCTCCAAGGCTGCTTCATTAGACAAAAGGGGGAAACTGCCTAAAAGCACCATTTAGGCCCTGTTTCCATGGAGTGCTTATTTTCTTATGTGGGTTGAGAGTGTGTGTTTAACCTTATTGGAGGCATCAGTATATCCGGGGTTCCTTTGCCGGTAATTAAGGCGGATGGAGCTTCAGAACCACACCCCCCCATCAATTAAGTTGTCTTACAGGATTTAAATGTTCCCATCCACAAGAAAAAAATTAATTCAGCAGTGCATTTCTAACATTGATTTGCAGAGTGACTTAAAGGGTGAGTGAGCCTGCCGTTTCTCTGCTTTTGAGATGGGTATTCACATTTTTAAGGCAGTGCCAGACACGGTTTTGTATTTCTGGGAAAATATATATTTTTACCCGTCTACACCATGCTTCTCCGGAAAGAAGAAAGGAAAAAACAATGGCAGAAAAATTGGGATGTACAGTTAGAAAATTAATTTACACTGTCACGTGTACTTTTTAAATCAGTGAGGCAAGACATAAAAAACACTGCGAAAGCATGGGAGAAACGTAACCACGCTCAGGTGTCTTATGCACTAAGGGCTACTTTGGTAAGTTGTGGGAGGGTCTGTTTTCCATTCACATTTTATGCATGAAGATACATTTAATTTGCACGTTTATCAGGGCCTATACGTGACTTGTCCATTACAAAATGGGTGATGGCTTTTAAGTTTTAATAGTACTAAAGCTTGATTTATTTTCAGACATGTGTTCCATTGCAGATTGTGCAATAAACAAGATACTTTTTTTCTGTTTAAAGGAATGGATTTTAATTGGCTTAGACAGCATAATTTGATTGGAGGTACACAAGCATGTTACACTCTCTTATTTTGATTGGTAGCCGCATACATGTAATTCAATTTTTTCCATGTGGTTGGGGCATAAATTCACCTGTGCGAATGTTACACTACTTGCGTCCAACTTCAGCCCAAGGCTCCCTTTCTTCTCAGATGCGAGGAAAAATATATGAATTTCACTGTTAAGGAATCTGATCGAGACCTTTCCAAACACACAGCAAATTTGGCTGCCGGCAGTGCACTCTAAACCTGCGCTAAGTGAATCATATTTGACCCATTACTCTGGTTGCTGCGGCAGGTCGTGGTTGGAGGGGTCCTACTCTGGTACAATTTTTATCCAAACATCATGTCAGCTAGGCTGACAGCTTATCCAGCCTACAGGTGAAGACAGATCTTCATGGTTTGTTGACTGAATTTGAGAAAGAGCGGGATATTAACATCAATTTCCGTTTTTTTTTTTTTGTTTTGGGGTGTTTTTTTATTTTGAAAGGTAGAAGGAAGGTGGCATCACTGAAACTTTCTGCCCTGTTAGTTGGTTTGTCATGAGAGCAAAGTGCTGTATCAGTGAGTCAAACTTGCCACAGTGCTTTTTGTTTATAGGGTCTGTTTGGACAGTAGCATACATGTACATGTAAAAGCCTGCATGCTCTTGGACAGACAAGGACAATGCTAACATGCCTTCCAAAGGGGAGCCACTACACACCACATACCTTGTTCTGTTGCAAATAATCCACCTTCATGCACTAGCCATTACTTTTTTTGTCCCATCTTGGGTGGGCTTGATCTTACATGTACTTGTAAGTGGGAGAGGATACTTATCAAGAGATTGAATGCAGTTGGACTGTGGGAAGGGTTTTCTTGGAGGTAGGGGGTTAGGGGTGGTATTGACAGGCTAGTCTAAGATCATGGAGGAATAGGTTGAAGCTACAGTGTGCTTCCCCCTCATGCTTTCACAGGCTCGGGCCTCATTTATTTTCTTGTGGGTCATTTATTAGAGAGGGATCAGGGAGCCTTTGGCAGGGACACAGCAGGGACAATTGTGAGGGCTGGTTACCAAGGAATGTCAACAAATTATGAGCAGTGTATCGGTACCCACCGCTCTGGGCATCTGTGTTGTTCAATTTACAGCTGTGCATGAGGTTTAAACCCTTCCTGAACAAGCCCCATGACTCAACTCCTGCAACTGCTCCAACCCTTCTTTCCTGCTCCCCTTAATGAATCCAATTCAGCCAAAGCAAAAGCCATGCTGTCATCCCAACCAGTTATTTTGGGCTTTGAACCTTTTCCCTGTCGCCCCGGCAATTTCCCTTCAAACGTTCTCCACAGATTTGGTTTATAAAAGAAAAAAAATCTCCCTGCCACTGTGCATTGGCTCTAACTGGGACCTTAATTACCAAATTTAGCAGTCCCTATTGAGGGGGATCATGAGGGGCCAGATTTTCACACCAGTGTTCCATTTAAAAGCCCCCTTGGTGGCGGCCAGTGAGAGGGATTTGTCATCCTAATGAATTGGAATTCCTGTCAATAACCAATGGCTGGGAGTGCCTGGCATGATTTGTGGTTTAACGAGTGGTACATGGACTCCCTCCAGAGTGTGTTTTTAATGTTGGAAGTCACAAAAGACAGAAGTATTGCTTGCAAAGTGTAAAAATAAACTGGCAGATTTCCTTTACTGAACTTTTAAAAGGTGCACTCAGTAACAATAAACATGGCTCCCTGTAAACAAACAGGAACAAAATCTGGAACAAAGTCAGCCAACATTTGTGCCGCAGTTCTTTTTTTCACCTTTTTTTGGGGGGGGGAGCATACATGTAGGTCTGGAGAACGTACGGTATGTTTCAGAAGTCATGTTCCAAAGTTTGCATTATTGGTTTTAGTGGCTAACATGTAGTCCTGTTGAGATTTTTTTTATATTTGAGGTACAGAAAAAGCACTTTGAATCTTCAGAGGGAATAGTGCAGTACATTGTATGATGGATGGTATTTTTCACACAAATTGCCGGAGGGGTTTATTTGGACAGGGAAATGTAATTGTAAACATCCCATCAATTGTGTTTCAAATTGACTCCGAAAGAACATTAATTTTTGACAGTTTGCAAAACACTATTTTTTTGTTCAAAATGCCAGCTTCTTTGTGTTGTTAGAACTCAAAACAAAGTCAACCAGTGACAGAGCTTGTTTTTCTTCTGAAATAAGTTGCAGTAATCATTAACCATGTGCTTCTTAGATCTGACCAAACCAATAAGGAAGGTTTTTTTTAGGATTTAAGGGAGGCAGAACCCAAGCACCATCACTGTTCAGTTACACGTGAGTAGAATGGCCATCCAAGTGAAAGTGCAGAAAATTTGTGACTGGATTGCTGGGTGTTTTAGAGGACTCTGAAAGTTACGTGTACAGTAGCACTGAAATCACCTTTCAGAAAAAAAATGTCATTTTCAAACATCTGGTTGGCTCTGTGAGTGGAAGAGAGGTGGGTAGGGTGGGAAATCACTCAGTATCCCTTTTAGAAATGTGAAATCGAGCTTTACCCCTTCCAGAGTAAGAGCATCAAAGCCCATTGACATGATCTTGCAACTGGAGAGGTTAGTTTGTTAAGGATATTCATTCAAGATGTTTTTCCAAGAGCAGGAACCAAAACCAGCTTTTTATTAGCCAATTCTCGTGGGTGTCTTTCTGTGGCGTTAGGATTAAAATTGTGCCAGCTGACACATGCAAAAGCTTTCAGTGAGAAAGAGTTTTCTCAGTCATACAGTGATCATTCCAACATTTAGAGACAGAACTGAGCAAATGTAGTTCTCTTGTTTGAATGATATTCACTATTGTCCTTACCGTGAAGATTCACATAAGCTACAGAGCATTTGATCATACAAGTTTTTAAGAAAAAGCTAAACTCAAACGAACCACTGAATCGAAGTGACCTTTACAAAAGACAGAATTACATGTATGTGTTGGAAAAATACACAGGCCTGATGGGCTCATCAGAATTCTTGATCAACTCGGTCAGATTCCTCTGATTGCGTGGGATTTGAACTGCCTGTTTCACTTCTGTTTTTCTTTTCTTTTTCTTTTTGTGTTTTTGTTTTTTCAAGTGCCATTGACCAGGTACATTATTCGTTATTTGGTTCTGACTTGTCCAACTAGCCAAAAATTTTTGCAGAGTTTAGGGTTTAGAACCAATCCTGTTTATCCTATGAATTATCTCAAACTTACAATATGCACAGTATAGTCGCAGCCCTCATCAGATGTCATTGGAAGGACACAAATCACGTATAATGGCTTCAAATGATCTTCTAATTGGTTTTTGATGAATCACCATTGGTTATCCATCAGTCCTTTTTTATTATTAGTATTTTTGATAAGTGCACTTTCCTGGTAAAAACAGTCAGCCCACCCCCTCTATGAACTCCGTGCACTCTAGAATCCCCAGCAATCTGAAATCCTAGTGGGAGAAAAGAAATCATCTAAGAATGACATTTTTTGAGGCAGTTACGAGAAAGAACCAGGTGTCAGACCGACATTGTTTATGGGCGAGATGGGGTAAAAATTCCCATTGTTTATCCATCTGGGGGCAGGTGTAGTTGTAAAGTTGAAACCTGAGCGTTGACCCCCAGCCCCTGGGGTTGTAAATTCAAGGGATTATCTTCTTTTTTTGTAATTGTTTCAGAGATGGTCATTCCTGGTTGTGCCTTGACTTTATCTAGGAAAAAAACTGGCTGGCTGAAAACTTCAAGGTGTCGGTTGTCATTTTTGTTAGTAATTAAGTGTCTGAGCTACTTTGATTGCTCTGTGAAACTACCACTTTACTCCAAGTCTCCATGGTACAACCTCCAATGTAGGATTTGTCAGAGTTACCTAAACGTGACCCACTCCAACAAATAAGGTGTCATTTGCTGGTTTCCCCTATTAATTTGCAGGAAGATCACCTGTCATTAGTGAAACTGAAATCTTTCTGTTTACTTTCAATCTCTGTCATTACAAATGGAAACAACACTGTTTGGAATGTACTGTTTTCTGGGATTGCCAGTTGCATGCTTTTTAGGGACACGGTTCTTTCCAATTATTAGTCCCCGTAATATTTTCCCTGTTACTCTCACATTTTAAAAACGTTCATTAGGTGACTTAGCATTACCAATACATGTATAGTCGAACCTCGTTAATAAGAGCACTGTAAATACAAGAAGATTCTACTTATAACGAGGAAATCTTTGGATCCCAACCCTTTGTTTTTCATTGTTTTCATTCCTGACAAAAAAATTACAAGGTTCCTGTTATAATAAGGTAATTTGCTAAGTCCAAAGGACCTCGTATTAACGAGGACTGACTGTACTTTAAATCACTAGAATGATTTTTTTCTAGTGCCGTTTGTCTTAAAATTCCACAAGTTTGTTCGATAACTGAATTCTCATCCATCTTAATGGACACCTCTAGCCACACAAATCTTTGAAACAAGGTACCAGTACATGTACTGTACTTCTACGACAGTCCCTGTGTTAGAAGTCTTCCAGGAGAAAGAATAAAGGCACGGTTCAGGACAGATATGAGCCCCCCGCCCTACTGCTGCAGAGCTGTGTTGTGGTAAGCACTGGAGTCGTGAAAGCCAATGGAATCGGCCCATTTTTCAGATGAACATAGGTACAGCAAACAGTGCAACAGTGCATAGAATTTGGGTACGGTGTGGTAGCGTACGTACATCAGGGGCCTTGACTCACTAAATATGTATGCAGGTTGAGTCTACAGTATGTATTAATGCAGCACTGAAATACTTAGAGAGCAGACCCATTGCATTGTACTAAGTTACAAGTGCACTGAAGAATTCATGCATGGGACCTACCTTACATGTAAGTGACATCTTCGCTGGCTGATATCCTCCTGTCCAGCATGTATTCTTCCACAGTTAATGAAGGATGACTTCTAAGACTGTCCGCCACCCTGTCGAGCATTAAGCAGACTGACATTAAAATCCTCAGCCAGTAGAGATATTTATATACGCGCGGTCACACACTCACACACTCGTTGACTGGCAAAACTATCCTGTTGGCAATTGCCACATTTTTAGTGCTTCTCGTGATTGATGAGCCTATAGAAATTTCAATTTAATAGCGTCTAGGGGCTGGACTTCCCTCAGCAAGGGCTCTGTTTTTTTCTTCTTTTTTTCTCCCTTTCAGGCCGTTTCCTGGGCCCATGGTTTGCATAATTGGTTTGAGGAATCCTGAATGTGCACCAAGGGGGCTGACCTCAACCCTCCCCCTGATGGGGAAGTGTCTGGTCTGTAACCAGGGACAGGGGAAAAAGTCATCTCTGCTCACAATCAGTGTAGACCTCAGAAACATGAAGTGGTCGAGTTAGGCCAGGACAAGCGTCACTCACAGCAGTGCACTAAGGAGTGTTTTGTAAATCTCCCCCCTTCCCTTTTTGTTTGTTTTTTTGGCATTTTGCATTTCAATTCATTCGCGGAGAGACAGACATGCTTCACTGATGGATTCATTATGCTCAGGCAAATCAGATTTTGAGTCGTTAAAACTGGTTAGGAGCACCTAAATTCTACCTGGCTGGGAACATGTGGTGTTCTTTTCTTTCCAGCATATTTTTAATTTGGAGGGCTTGTGAATGCTGGGGTGTTTACTATAGAACACACATATCTTGGAATGCAGAAAGCCCCTGCTGTCTTTGTGATTATACAAAATTGTATTTGAAGAATTTTTGTGAATGCATGCAGTCTACAAAAGAAACAAAACTCTACCCAATTATTTTCAATTGTATCCAATGCTTCGGCACTACTTTCCTCTCCAATTAGGTTAGCCAGAATTTAATGGAATTGAGAATAATATGCATGTCTGTGCTTACCATTTATATAAAGAAGCCAGGCTGTTCAGAGTTTTTGTACAGCATGAATGGCTGTGTACTATTCCACTGTAGATATAATTCTACTTTGTCCACTGTGGATGCATCAAACTGCACGAACTGTTAAGTGAGGAAGTAGGTAAAGCACATATTAATAATGCTCCGGGTACCGTCTGTCTCAGTCATTGCTCAAATCCTCGATCATACACTGTAGGCGTTTCCCAGTTGAAATCTTCGGACATTTTTCAAGTAATGCAAGGGTACACTTGCAAACAAATAATTAGCTTTCAGGCTAGATATGCACGAGTTGCCCGCAGAAGCCGTGCGCTGCTTTTGCATTCTTTTTTGTATTGTCATTCGGCGTTTCCATGGCTGTAGTGAAATGCCCCTCCAGTGAGTTTAGTGGAAATTGGCAACATGGAATCCTGCCAGCCTAATTGGCGTGGTGATATTAAATGTCCTGTTTGTTTGCGCTTGGCTGGTTGCCGAGCTGCCAGTCCTGCACAAAAGTGATTGCTATGGCCTGGGAGACTTTTGTGTGAGCTGGCAGGTGAACATTATTGTCATTGGTATTCAGACCAGTTGGGATCCATGATGTGACAGCTTTGAATGGTCATGTACATGTAGCAGTATCGGTCACCAGTGACCACTCATCACCATGATGTAGGTTTCATCCATGATTTCGCGCACCTTATATTTTATAATTTCCTTAATCTATCTGCACATTTGTATGCCAGATAAATAGTATCCTAAGTCACTGAGGTTACTACGATTCCATTTGTAGTGGGTTCAGTTCCCATAGGACACCATGGCTGTACTGTACTCCCAGCTGGCCAAAGCTCTCCAGTAAACACAGCACAGAGGACCCGTAACCAACAGGCATGTCTGCAAGATAACTCTTTTGTGTTCATGCCTTTGCCCTGTTATTAATGGCACTCATGGTGGATTGCCCTCACTTTATATTACACTTCAGTACATTTGGAGAAAGGTCAGCGGAGGTCATCACTTTTATTCTGACTCCAAGTTGGGGAGGGGGGCTTGATGTAGTATGGGCGTCCCTGAGTGGACCTTGATGATACATTGATGGTTTCTCCTGCCACTTTTGGTTACTTTGATCCTACCTTGTGAAAGCTCTCTCCCACTCCCTCCCTCCCTCCCTCCCTCCCATCATGGGGATGTAATTTGAAGGTGATGACAGTCAGAAACTGACGGATAGAGAGCTACAGTTCCACACTCTTCACACCTGTAAATGCCGCTCTTTGCATTTTCTGAACACGGTCCGGCGGTTTCGTGGGTGTGCACATGTAGGCTCGCTCTCCTTCTCATGCCAAGATTGTGCTCCTGTTTCTGTGTATCTAAACTGCAGCTGGTGAAGATGTTTGTGACTGCTTGTCACCAGGTGGATGGAATAAGTTAAGTTACAAGCTCGATTTCCACCCACATCTCTGCAAACCTCAACAATGGTGTTAGCATCCCAAACATGACGTCATCTTGAGGGACATGGGTGCATTGACTCCAGTGAAATGTTGACGCAATTTTTAGGAGTGCAGCAGACAGTAACTGACGTTCAACACTTTACATGATGGTAGGCTTGTTACATGTACATGTAGCTTTGAAGCACCCATGAATTGTAGAGTTCACATATATTCCAATGTCAGGTAGTTTTGGAGCTCTCACCTGCAGAAATAAACGCACAAGTGTAAATGCAAAATGGTGGACAACCCAAAAATAGCCTGAAGGATTCTGTTCCATTGGTAACAAGGAATCCGCAATACATGTGCACTGTACATGTAACAGTGCCTTGATATCAGCAAGTGTGACTGAAAAAGAATTCCATCACAGACTCTAAGTGTGTCACAGCTTCACATCATGTGACAGATCTGTCGGACTATAATCGTTTCACATGTAAGCAATGTGGTCATTAGACTGTAAAGAAGGCACGGTGAAAAGCGGGATTGATCAGGTTGGAATTTCCAGCTGAAAACTAAGGGGGTCCAGTCATTTTGCAGCTAGGCTAGAGAAAGCATCCCCCAACACTCATGGAGTATTTAGAGAGCCAAATGATGTACAGCACCTTGGGAGATTGGATGGTCCAAGGTATGGAAGAGGAGTCTTTCTTCTCCTCATCAAATCATTGGTTAAGGTTTTAGAGGCTGGGGGGGGAGAAAGAAGGGTTAATGGAATGAAATTAATCACAGTGGAAGCAGCTGTCACCTCTAATGTGGAGGAAAAATAAACTCCCAGTACATTCTTTGCACTGCAGGAGAAGTGTCCGGCTTTTGTTCATAAACATGATGTACGGAACCCCCCCCCTTCCCGCATGCTGGGATTGGTTGTAAGATCGATTGTGTTGCTATAGCATGTCATGAATATTCATGTATTTGCATGCTGCAGCAGAGGTTAGTGTTATTATGAATAAATGAACTTTCATATGAACTTCTTCAGGGGCTGGGGACTTGAGGCCAGGCATAATTTGAGTAAAATTTTGAGTTGACAGATGCTTGATAATGGAGGCTACTGGCAGCTTTGAGAGCTATCACTGGAATATGGCGCAAGACCGAGAACGAGAATCAGTCTTGAAGAATAAGTTGTTTGAAAATGAAGAGGAAGCATTCTTGTGATTGCCGGATATGATTTTCACCTTGGCTTCAGCGACGCACTGGTACATTTAGCAATGTATTAAAACAAACAGTGGCTATAGCAAGGCTTATGTTGCAATGCTGGGTGGCTTGTCAAGGTCATGATTTTGATAGTGAAAGGCAGAGAGGTGTTATCCATTGATAGCATCAGTTTTTTGTTGTTGATAAGCATGTTTTTTTGGTGCATGTATTCTTCACAGTAGGTCATCACTGAAAACTGGAAGTGTTGGGTGCAGCTTTACTCTGTTTTTGTAGAATGTTTTTCTTAGAGATGGCCTTGGGCAGTTCGGTGATTAAAATTCAACCTTCAGACATCTTGTTTGTACATGTAAGTGCACCAAGGGGTAGATTGCACCGACTAACCCAGTGATGATGCATCTGTATGCCTGCATTCATGCCTGCTTAAATTGGCCATAATTTTAGCGGCCTGGCTGGACAGTGCCCGACAATACTGTGGCTCATTTAGCTGAAATTGCCCCACACAGGTGGTGTGCTGTGGAAGAGAAATTGCTCGTTAGCATCCAACATGAGCAGGTAATTACACCCGAACATTATCCCCTTCTCTCAAAAGAAATTGCGGGGGGGGGGGGGATTTGTCAGGTTTTTTTTTTTTAATTGCCAAATAT